CAACAAAACTTACATTTTGCTCCGATGGTCCGAATGCTTCATAGTAAGCGTATGAATGAAATATCATAATTTCCACGTAGCTTCTCTCTGGAGCACTGCGTCGATTTTTTGACTTTGTCAAATCCAAAACATTTGTGCTCTTCGAGAGATTGGAAACAACATTATCGGATATGTTTGGTTTTGTAGCACCGCAAATTCTGTTGTTTTTCAGATCCTTACGAATATGCTCATTCGAAAACATAGTCCATTTTTTGTTTTCAGTGTCTGTGTACAGGGTGAAAATTTTTCCATTCAAGGAAATCAATCCAGAAAGTTCTCGAATATTTTGAATTTTCTTTTCACAGAACTTGATCCGAACAGGGCTATCGCTTAGCGCAACTTTGTCTTTTAAAACGTATCCTTGGTAAAGACATTTCGTGATCGTCGACTTCAAGTGAGAACCGTGCAAGTTTCCTTTTTGCGTCAAAATTAAATCAATGTTTCCGATTTCGGTATTGTCAGTCGTCAAATGGAGTACGGTTGATTCTTTATCATCACTGGCTTCAGTTTTCACCGATGAAATTGTAACCCAAGATTCGGCCAGGTCCGTTATTTTCTCTGATTTTACCAAAACGAACAGCGCTGCCTGTACGTAGATAAAAAACAACACCATGTCTAGAAGTATATTACCATGAACGCAAGAAAAATGTGATTTTATAGATCAGAAAAAGTAGTTCTATAAAATATTTATAAGACTAGCATTGAATAAATATCAGACAATGACGCCATTCAGTTATTTAAAACGTGCTCCAAAAGTAGTCTACAAAGCGAAACTGAACTTAGGGACATGGTTGATGGAATATTCACGTACAAACGAGACCAATAACTAAAGATTCGACAAAACAACTTTGATTTGATGGCTGGCCTTACGCACGAATAAATTGCAAAACAAAATTATGTGAGTTTTTATTGCCAGGCTATAAATGACGATAATGTTTAGATATTCTTAGGGAGAGATTCGGAAGGAAAAAAAATTCACCGCAATACTGAATCACTTCAACATTTAAAAAATATATATATATTTAGACTAGCCTTAATTTTTCATGTTTTAAACTTTTTAAACTGAAGTGAAAAAAGTATTAAGAATCAGAAAACGAAAAATATTGAGAATCTGTTAAACACCATGAACTCTAGGTTGAGAAAGCATTAAAGTTACCCTTGCTTTACAGATTCTAGAAGAGACAAACCTTACTCTTCAAATCAAATGAGATTGTAAAATACGAATATATAATTTATGTAGTGTAATATAAGAAAACTAGGTTGTAAAAAGACAGCAGAAATCAAAAATTAGCAGCAACTTAATAAATTGTGTTTATCACAGATCGTTCGACAGCCGAATTTAACATGGTGTCAGACTGCTAACTGGTTTCAGATATAAAGTTGCTTTAGTCGACCCATGTCATGAAACAGTGACTTCATCCCTTCTTAGGCGGAGTGATCGAAGCTAATGGGGTCCCATGAACCCACTGGTTGGCGTTGGCATCGAGTCTTCCATCGTCGGTAACGGGATGGGCAACGTTGAGTCAAATGTGAAAACCTGTCCACTCTGTTTTGGAAAGTGGAGCTCTTCTGCGCTTACTTTTTTTACCGAGTACTTCGGCGGATCTCCCGAGAGCTTTCTTTGCTCTTGAAGTGGTTCTAGCTCAGTTCGAATCCCCCAGTGCTTTATAAGCGGTTTCTCCTAACGGTACGTTAGAATTGGAAATTTCGATAGATTTCTTTGGCGTCATTTGCGTTTCTGGAGAGTTTAAAACTATGTCTCTGTAAGAGGTCTGCAGTCTCTGTTTCTCTGTTTCAGATTATGATTGAATTTCAACTGGCTTCGGTATGATTTTTGTGGAGGGGCCTCCGTTTCTGACTGGGTTGGACTTCTTTGCGTTTGTCCTCGCGATCAACCACCAATTTTCTACTAATGTTTATGTAGTTTTTCGGTGTGAGAAAAAAATCTTAATGCTTTGGACGTAGAGAGGCTCCCATCATTGTCCCCGTCTGAGCGGATGATGATGCCTGATTATGATTCATCTCCGATTACTGCCGCATTTTTGTCATGGGTGGTCCGTCTTTTCTCGATTTGCTGTTCCCTGAGTTTTCCAGCGATGTAGTCCTTGGTTTCTTTTGGTCTTTGGGTTTAATTTTTTTAAATTTTCAAATATGAAAGGCGTGTTTTAATCATAGATGCTTAGTTTTCGACTTGAAATTTTCAGGTTTCTCATCGGCCTCATAATTGAGTGCTAATTATGAGACTGTATTCTTCAGTGCCGGAATTAACAAATGGTTTTTGCGCGTACATTTTTCGCACAACTATTGTTCTGTGTCCGAGACATGCATTTCATGCATTTCTAGGGCTTTTGGCCACTCTTCTGCCCGGTTGCGAGTTTTTCTACCGCCTTGAAATCTTTTTTTTTTGATCATACACAGTTGGACGTATTTTGGGCTGACTTCTCGGCCGTTGCCGCCTATCGGCATGTTTTTGATCCTGTCTTTGATATAACAGGTGCTCGTTATATTTTCTGCCTTGCTCAATTCTCGTTTTCATCATTGGAAACATTGCGACCGGAATTTCTCAAACTCATGGTCGGTTTTTGGTTGAGTTATTATTCAAACCGCTAGCTTTTATTAGTTTTATGCTTCCCAAGATGAACGTTTTCAATTATATCATAAGTTTATTGCTTCAGCTTTGTGAACTTTGGCTCTAACCGTGTCGCATCTAACTTTATTCTTGAAAAACTTCATTCGACTTTTCTACGTGTCCCAAGGCTCGGGTCTAACTGTTATACTAGTTCATTTTGGAACAATGTAACTTGGTCCGTTCCAATTACTTTTGAAAGGCTATGCAGGCGGATTTAAACTTTAAGATAATGAATGATTTAATAATCTGTAAATGCAAACTAATATATACAATTTTTCCCGTATTCATCTTCTATCAGTCATGCGAAATCTATATGTATCTCGTCAATCTCTCAGGAAAAGAAAGGGATTTTTCAGGTTTTTTTGAGTTTTTCAAGTTCTTACCACAAAGTGTACACTCTCTGCGATTGTGTTACTTTTTCACAATTTAGCTGTTCATATGCGACCACCCCAAGTATTCTACCAAGTTAAGCGTTTTTCTTCACCCGATAGTTGTCCTGTGCAACATAGTGACAACCGCTGACTCTAGAGCTTTTGGAACTGCCAGCGTAGAGCGGATTATGATGCAGTCATCTATTAGCGATGTAAAGTCCAAGAACTTATCAATGAGGAGTCCAGTTTTCTGAATGCTGCTCTGACGTTTGCTTTGGATACCGCTTTCATTGGGGTCAGAAGTGAGTCCGTCGATCGGCTGGGCCAGAAAGTTAAATTTTAATAAGCTGGGCTTTACCGGAACTCTGACTTCATTCAAAAATGGCGTTGGAACTTATTTTATTGAACATATATTCGACGTTTTTGAAGCTGCATACACGTTTGCTTTGACCATGCGTCTTCTCTTCTGGGTGCGAGAACTTTTAAATTTAAGCTTCAGCGGCTGTCTGACAAAATTCGATTTGGGTGGCACATCTCGTTTTTTGTTCAAAGCTAAGCTGCTCTGTTTTCCTTTAATCAATTCGATCCAATTTATCCTCGCTAATGACGTCACAAGCCATATTGAACCCTTAAATGAAGCTTATGACAAAAAACCTGACGTCTCTTTTTTTACTGAAGGGAATCAAATATCGGGTGTCTTAAAATCAAATCAAAAATGCCAACAGAATTTCTGGAACATGAAGAAAAAAATAATTGTTCAACAAAAAATCAATCGCTCACCTAGTGAGTCCTGGTTGCTTTATTTTGCATGATCTTTTTATATCACATACTATATTTTTTTACAAATGACACTGCCAAAAAACAATTCCAGTATCAAACAAACCATACATAAAATATTGATTGTTGGAGGTTCTACTTGTTGTAGACTCCCATGACTTCCAGGCAAGGTGTTTGTCGTTACTTCTTCTTCTTCTTCTTCTTCTTCTTCTTCTTCTTATTATTATTATTATTATTATTATTATTATTATTATTATTCTTCTTCTTCACGTTCGGACCTCACAATAATGACTCTTTTCTTCTTGTTTTCACCAGAAGAACTGCAACAATGTGCTGCAGAATTTCTTATTTTTTCAAATTTACTTAAAAGTAGCTGTGCGGAACACAGCTGTTTATATCCTGGAGAGAAACCACCGCCGCAAAACCAACAACTTTATTGGCTGGATTGCGACTATTGGTATCCTCTTTGATTGCCCGCGCT